GATTTGGGGCCTGAGTTGAAAGACATTTTAGTCACACTGTGATTTCCATTTACTTATTTGCTGTCCATAAAATGTCAGAGGTATTTTATGTTTTATGGGTAGAGAATATTGAATAGATACATTAAGAAAACCATATCAAGACTGATGGAGATGGACAACTGTGAAATCTTATCATTAATCAATGCAGAATTTGATACTACCATAATATCAGCTTTAACATGTGTGGAGCAGTGTTAACTATTATGTACTGATACTCCATAATGCATTAAAGGCAATAATTTTCAAGTAAGTATGACTTTTACCATCTTCTTACAGTTAATAATAATCATTAGTTGATATTATCATAAGTGAATCATTGTCCTTGGGAGAAAAAAGAGAGGAAGGTTGTAGAACTCTTCTTATGAATGGAGCTAAAATAATAGTAAGGGATTCTTGGATGTGCAAGGTGGGGAGATACATGTATAATAGACCCATTTGTTTCATCTTTACAAATTAGGGCTTTGCATCCTAAGTTCTATGAGCAGCACTTATGGAATGCATATTTTTGCCACCTCAGATAAGTTTCTGGAGCTTGGGGGAGGGTGTTCTAGAACAACACAGGATGGGATATGGATGGCTGAACTTGGAAAGCACCATGGAACATTCTGTGGGTAGAAATGCTTGTTTCTCATGCAAAGCACCACTGGATCCAACTGCCTGCATATTAGTGACTCAGTAGGTTTCTTCTTATCCTAACAGTTTATAGATGGAAGTCTAGTAACTATTGAAAGGATCATATTTTTGCCTTTGTAAGCCTCCCCAATATTCTTCTCATCTTTGAAAAGCATCTAATGTTCCTTCCATGATCATATATTCCATACACAAATGAAATGTTTGAGTGCTGTGGAGGAGTCTTCCAGTGTTTGGCTGAAGGTGTCTGGCATTGGTGAGGGGTCCCAGTTACTGCACAAACTCCCTTTAGTATGTCTGCCTAGTTTTCGTGTTTCCTGCTTTTCCACATTTCCTCATTACAAACAATGCTTAACTGTTATGAGTGCCAAGCATTTTTTAATGTCTTGGGCACACAGACTGACTTGAAAGTAAGTTCCATTGAACTTGATGGAAGTTACTTCTGTTTAGGATTGATTGTTAAACCATATCATGATTGTAGACATACAGTGAAATGATGGTTTGGTTTGCTATGTTGTAACCCAGGGAATATGTGTAGGCAGAAACAAGGCTCATTTACCATCTTATAAGCAGAGAATGGAAGAGATAGTGAAATGTCAGAAACTGAACCTGAAATATCTACATCATTTTATACAGTTTTATTAAAATGTCTGTAGACACCTCCTACCCAACTCCTATCTTCTCACCATCAATTCAGTCTTTTTCCCCCTCACCTATCCCAGTTTTGGAACATCTGGCTTAATGAAAAGATCTATCACTCCCCCACCACTTTAGACATCTCTTTCATTGGCCTATTTCACTGAGGCAAATTTGGGGATTTTTTTGAATGGCCAACACAATTATCAGTGCAATTTTCTTGGTGCCAATACTTTCCTATGTGCAAAGATAGCACTGGTTATACATGCTATCGAAAATAGAAACTCTTTGCCTATATTTTTATTGCACTGAAATACCAGCAGTTTCTTACATGGAAAGTTGTTGTTCTCATTAAAGATTGAGCAAAAGTTATATTTCTCTTCTGCAATGTTATTGGCAAGTCTCATCTAATCTACACAGCATGCATCGAAATACCTTTCTATATCATATATAAATTTGAATGGCCATCTCATTTTATTTGATTACATTGGCATAAAAAACTAAAAGTGCCCCATTCTTTCTCACTAATAGCTAAAGATTGAGAAATGTGCTACCATGAAAAAATTTTTGTTTCAGCACTAATTTATTTTCAAAGTGTTTTGCAACTATCTAAATCTGTTAAATAGCTTTCATTTCAGATTCCCATTTGCACATGTAGGTGATGCTTGGCTTCTGCTTAAAAGGCAGAATGTGTCATCCCTAGGGAACTGGTTCTGCTGTGTAAAAACTATTAAATAGGAGTGTGTGGAGACCAAAATCTAAGAATTACTGAAATTACGCAGTACACAACATTCAGGAAGTGGGTAATACTGCTAACTTTACACTTCTTGCTATTGTTTTCTTTGTCTTTTGACAATGTAACTGACCAGGTTTGTGAGCTACTGCTGATGTAGTGCCTGCCTTTGTTTCTATTTGTGCCTGGGAATATGTGGAGTTCCTCATACTGCGGCTACCTCTTGGTCCATCAATTCAAATGTGCCTATTTTAACTGGCAGTTGCTGTCCAAGCATTCAGTGAGAGATGTTTCTAGCCCTCCTTCCAGTGAACTTTTCAAGTAGGGGGATGTAGCGCATAAAATTTGCTGTTTCAGCACCATCCCAGATAAAGTGTAGACTGGAGTTCTGAGGTCTGCAGAATTCTGACCACAGTGGTCTTTACACAACTTGCTAAACTATACCATTCAGCTCGCATGACATTAACCTCTGCACAATCTACATGAAAAATAGCAGTGGTTATTACTAAAATATGAAGGCAGACATCCAAATCAATGACTGCTCCTTCCAGCCTTGTGTGAATGTGTACGTGTGTGTGTGACAAGGGGGAGAGAGCTCTTTCCTTGAAGAGTTACTTATCCCTCTGGAACAGCTGTTGGAGCCTCCATGCTGATGGCAGACAAGGAAAAGTTCAAAATGGGTTCCCCCATACCGTTCATATACATACACACAACTAACATCTTGTCCAGTTAACTGATTAATTGATAAATACTTCTGCTTTTGTTCTGTTTTTTTAATAACGGAAGGGTAAACAAATCACCAAGGAGAATCACAATGCAACAACCTGTGGTTTGATAATGTCATTTCAGACATAATAATGACTTGCATGGGATAACATTCTTACATTCTGCTGAAACATTCAATTGCTCATTGGGCAAGCACTCTTGAAGGGGAAGCCCAGGAAGACTGGATTGAGACCCTACACCTCAGATTCCTTACTGCTGTTTTCATCAAGCAGTATGACATGGACATTTCCACAGGTTTCTTCACCTACCAGATTTCATACTATCACTTGTGCTATCTCTTTTTCCCCTCAGTCACCTGAATTTAATATTCTTTACCTGTTATCTTCTGTTAGGAAAAATAAAGTTCTCAGACTCTGAATGAAAACATTCCAATGGTAATTTTTACAGTGATTTACTCGTAAAAGTGATTATAGCTCTTTATAACTTTCAAGACGAAAAGTCAGTATGTTTGCTTTTTATTTCACAGAAATACAAGTTTCCTGAATTGAAGGCTTCTTCCAGTAAAGTAGCTATTGCTTTCAGTTGGTGTATCATGAAATTCTGCGGAAGTGTCATTAACTTTCACCTTGAGTTAGAAAGAATATTGATACTGTCTGAATATGTTTGATTTTCCGCTTGCAGCATAGTTCAACATATTGAACATTCATCCTTTAAAAAGACTAAGACAGAATGATATTTGGCATAGCAATACGTCTACAACAAAGTGTTTTAAAAACTGTTATTAGAATAAACGTATTTTTGATTGATAAATAGCAAGGTTGGAGGTTTTGAATCTCTCTAGCAGGGACTTCCCTTGTCTGCAAAAAGTCTGAACTGCACTCTTCATTTCACAAAACTCACAGTGGTTGTGTGTGACACACACATGGTTCAGGTGCAGATGGAAGATAGAAAACATGGTAGGGTGTAAACATAGAGGGCCAGAGGGCCACGTCAGACTCTGGAACTCTCTGTCCAAATCCCATCTAGCCTTCTCACTAGGGACCTTCCTTACTGTTCCAGAAGGCTTTTGGCTTGCTATGCTGGCTACTGTTTTGTTATTGCCTTACGGTTTTTAGTTTCAGTTGGCTGCTTTTTATCTCTTCTTTTTTGTAGTTTGTGACCTGCTATTTACTGTGCTATTATTGTAATCTGTTTATTGTTCATCACCTTTGATTTACCATTTGGAAAGAATAATATTTTTAAAAATCACACCAAGGATGCTATCCTGTGGCCATTAGACAGATCCCAGATGGCTATAGGACAGGATGGAGTACCAACGCCAGCTTCTGAAATATATTCCAAAATGGGAGCTGGACTTTGACTTTGGACTGCCCTCCTACACCCTTGCAGCCATTGTGTTTGTTTCAGAGCCTGAGGTTTATGGGCATTGTGGGAGGGGCAGGTAACGGAGGAGAGCGATTCCACCATGATAAAGTAGTAACCTGAGGAAAACTGAGGAATTCCAAGGGTTTTAGACCTATAAACACAACCTATTAGCCATGCTCAGTCAACAGAATGCTTAATGCCCATTGTGGGGAAAGGAAGAGAAAAGTGGGACAGATATAATAGCCTGGAAGAGAGCTGCCTACTGGCTGGAATTCTGAATGGGATTCATCTCTAGGGTTTTCTGAATAATGCAGATTATCTAGGTCCATTTCAGTTGGCTTCAGGCCTGATTATAGGTCAGAGACTGCTTTGCTCTCCATGGTAGAACATCTATGCTAGGAACTGGATAGGGAGAGTGTGTCCCTGTTGCTTTGCTGGACCATTCATCAGTTCTCAATACCATTGACCATGAGGGAAGCTCAGTTCACTCCCTCTCTGACAGCAGATACTATTATGTAAGTGGGCTTTTGGTGTATAAGTGGGTCTGTTGCACTATATCAAGTTATTGCTCTGTTTTGCACATGCCAAGCCAATTCCAATTTCCTGTGCCTTTCTGATCACTTCTTTTTTCTGCCTGCAGCCAGCCACACAGGGCCAGACATAGTTGCCTGTCTTGCCGTTACATCTGAGATACAAGATTGATAATGTGTCCCAGGCTAGGGAACAGGTTAAGTCCCACACTCCATTCAGGAGAACTTTTGGATGACAGCAGCAGTGCAGAGGACACTCGGCGTTTTCATTTCTGCTTTAAAAGATTTGTGTTGCATTGAATACTAATGTAATCACTGCTATCAATATTTTGTTTCCACAGCTCATCATGTTAAAACGGGGACCTGTGAAGTGGTGGCTCTCCACCGGTGTTGTAATAAGAACAAGATAGAAGAAAGATCACAGACAGTGAAGTGCTCCTGCTTTCCTGGGCAGGTAGCAGGTACCACTCGAGCAGCTCCTTCTTGCGTTGATGGTGCGACATATTCCCTGGTTTGCTCTTCCCTCTTGTGTCAATCTCTCCTGAGCAATTTAAATGGTTGCCTTTCACTTATGCCTGCTGCCAGTGTTTATAATGATAAGGAGTATGTTGAGAGTTCTTTGAAGGCATCCCCAGGATGAATGAGAGCTCGAGATTCTAAAATGAATTACCAAGCCTGGCTGTGAAAGGAACCTCTAGAGAAGCGTAATGGGATGTTAAAAATGTGAATGTTGTATCAAGTTCATTTTAATAAAGCTACTAAAGCCTCACAGGTTTTCTCTCATTGCAAACAGATGGGAAGGTGCAATTCTGATCAGGAGGGCAGGTTCCAGATTGCATAAGACACCTCCCTTGCATAAGAGACCTTCAGTGATCCCTCTGCGTCAGTAATGTTTCTGATGCCAGTGCCACCAGTTGCTGTAGTTCCTTTCTTTCCTGTCATTGTAAGCACTTGCTTGCCAGCCAGGCAGAGAGCCATTGAGTAAATAGACAACAGTATCTCCTGCTTCACCAGCACCATTGCCTGGGCCAGAGTGAGAGACAGGTGAACAAGTAATTTGCAATGGAGAAAAGGAAGAATAATAATTCCAGAGGGTTTTTGCTAGAGGCCCTCAGCGGGTCTCCTACCACCCCTGTCCTTGACATCATCTCTGCCAGTAGGAATGTGGGAGATGCCAAGGACACCATGACATAATCCTAGTCTGGCTGACAAATGTCATGTCTCCTGCATTCCTTATATGAACAATTTCTTTCCATTTTATTTTTACAGTTAAAAAAACTACATGCCCCAATTCCTCTGAAAAGCTTGCAAACACTTTCCTTATGTTGTTATGTTGTCATTTACCACTGAACTAGTTGAGCATGTTGCTTTCAAAGAGGCTAGACTACTCAATAGTTAAGAAGCAGGGGTTCTGCGGCAGTGAGGCCAGGGGAAATTAAGCCTTTAAGATAACAGCAGGGCAAAGGACCCAGCTGACGAAATGAAGGATGGGCTCTGAACGGCTTTTAAAGGCATGTTCCTGTGCATTTGCAGACAGCAAAAGTCCAACGGCCATCATGCCCAGCCAGTCACAATAGCTGAGACATGCTGCAAATGGCAGGACTTTTTCTGCCTAAACACACTTGGAAATGTTGGAGCACTTCTTTGTTCCCATGTAGGAACATGACCGTGGAAATATAATTATCTTCTTGATTTAACGTTGTGGGTTTGTGTATTTAGGAAAAAAATGCAAGGAATGGTGACAACTGCACCTTCACTGCCATTAGTCTTGATAATATGGCTGTGAAATAAGTAAATATAAAGTATTGTCAATAAAATCCAGTGCATACGTCTTCACCTTCTCTAGCTTCAATTGTGGAACAAAAATGGTGGTGCCACATGCAGCCATGTCTTGAAGGGGAGGAATGCAAAGTTCTTCCAGATCGAAAAGGATGGAGTTGTTCTTCTGGGAATAAAGTGAAAACAACAAGAGTGAGTATTATAATTGCAAGATATGTTTTAGAAACAAAATGCTGGACTCAGTGGAGCTTTACGTTGATTCAGCAGGTCATTTATTAAATATGGATTGGAAATACACAAGCAGATAATTAAAATATTGGGTTGGATCTAGACTTCACCATACTGAATGAAATGGGACCATCCCATTTCAATGGATCTACCCAGAGTATGACCAGCTCTGTATCCAACTCATTGCAATTATTATTGGTAATAGTATGAATTCTTATCCAAAATACAGCAGCTCTTTTTAAAAAAGCTTAAAATTCTACATAACAGCTCTTGGCTGGGGAAAGGAACAAGGGGAAGACTGAATTCAAGGTTTAATTCTAGTCCTGGATGGCAATCTGGTTAAAATTAAAGCTGAAGCTCCATACCTACTTAGAGCCATTCTGTTGTTTCTGTTCACAAATTCAAGAGATCAATTCAAGTATTAATTGAAACACAAAACAGGTTGATTTAAGGTCCACATTCCTAATGCACATTAAGCCCATAGCAGTAGTAGAAGGAATTCAACTCATGCATGCACTTCGAGCATGGATAAATGCATCTCTAATAAATCATTCTCTTTATTTGTTATTTTGTTTTATTTCTACTCTGCATTTCTTGCAAACACTTGATCGGAATCATATCCACGTAGCCAAGCATGTAAAACCGATGAGCAGACCCTCATGATAGCTGTTGGTTCCTAGTAAATGTAGATATAATAAATTACACAAAACATAGTCATTCTATATGCCAATTTGCATGGGAATTTCATACATTTTATATGATGAAATTGGTTTCATGTAGGAGAATTATTCATAACACATGGAGAAGAATTATTTAGCTCCGTACTTTCTGCCTTGATTTACAGCATATTTCTAAGACACTGGATTTAACTGAAAGTGCCAGGATCATGCCTAGGAATGTCAAAATGGCAAGTGGCACTATACCACTGAGTTGATGGGCTTTTCACCCATGGTGAAATGATTATGTTGCAGGAACAAAGGTGCTTTGCTCAGTGAATAATTCCATATTATTTCCCCACCATGGTTCCATGTACAGAAATAATTCATGGTTGCATTATAGAAAGAATTCAATGCATGGACCACAGAGTCCTTCATACATTCTCACCTTTCAGCAACCAGTTCTAGATATTAAACTACTATATGATTTCCAAAGACACTGTAGCCTAGGAGTCGGGGTGGAGAAATCTAGTTTGAAGGTACTCGGGCTCTTTTCATATGCTAAGGAACATCACTTGTCGTTCATCTGCTCCAGTTCATCTATTCTAAAATGTTTGAGATATTGATAGAGAGCCAGCAGATACCTGGCCTTGATAATGTGATTCCTGGCCTTGAGCCAAAAGCTATAGGAGATTAGACAATGAACATAGAACTTCGTGTGTGTGCCTGAACTGCAGCTGAAAAGAAAATTGAAGCCTGCACCAATTGCCAAAGTAGTCCTGAATTGATGTATCCCAAAAAAAGACAATTACAGAGACTTTGATAATTGGTAAGATTAATGTAATCATCTGGTGCCAACAACTGTTGCTATTGCTCTCATGATCCCCATTTGTTCTGCTAGGACTACTTCTGCTTAGTTGCCTGCCTGCTGAGCAGAGAAAAAAGGATGGGTAAGGAAGAACAATACAGAAGAGTTGAGAATGAGTCCCTAGATAAAGAAGGGGAATTTATCTTGAAACCAAGGCTGATATTAGTGTCAATGAAGCAGCTATATCAGTTGATGATCTGTCCAACTCTGAATTACAACAGATGCATAAGCACTTGACGCAGCTGCAAAGGGGGAGAAACAGGACAAGTACTGCTGTCTGTGACGGGGAAAAAGAAAATGTTAGAAATATTGCTCTCTTGCTAATTCTTTCCCTTTGAATCTTTTCGCTTTCTCAATTTCTTCTCAGAAATAGAACGATGGCTCAGATTAAGCCGAGATATTTTATGGTGTGTCATTTGTCTTGAAAACTAGTATGCAGTGTGTGTATCGCAGTGCTACTGATAAATTAGATCCTGTGGGACAGTCGAGTAATAGTGGTCAGCACACAAGAAGGGCATTGAAACATTTCTCACTTTCTGGGTGCTGTTTCCAACTGACTTAATCTGGCATAGCAATTTCTGACCAAGGGAGAAACTTCAGTAAAAGCCGTTTGAAGATTACAAAAAGCTTTTTTCTCCTCAATGTAGGATCAAACATCCACTTCACTTGTTCATTCTGGTTTTCTTACCCCTTTCAAAACTAGCTGTTCAGCTAGTGGCTATTCAGCATTGCAGATCCATTCATTCACACTAACCCACCATGAGAACTCTCTGTTCCAGAATCCTTATAACCCAGCCAGGCAAGGTAATCGTGCGCAGGTGCCTCTCCACACTATTTTGTGGCCCTAATCCTGCTGAGATTTATTTGTTCTGTATAGTATATCTTTGATCTGTCACAATGTTTTCTACTTATAGCTGTGAGTTAGGGCCACCGAGTGCTATTTATTTAGCACTAAAGCATGTGAATGGCTTTACTAGCTCTTGATAAGGCCTGGTGATTTCTGCAAAGCACTTACATGAAACAAGGATTAAGTGCAGACAAGGGAATGATCAAAGGACCACAAAAAATCTAGAATTACAATTAAAATTGTGCATCTCCTTGTTTACAATATTGTGTGCAGTGGTAGGTTTTAACATTTGATTTCTTAATACTATGAAATATTTCAGATTGATTGAATCTAATTTCAAGTCATGCACATTGTTTCTTGATGGCCTAAGGACATGCAGAGAAACTGACTGAAACCTTAGGATTTCCTTCAGCAATTTGATTTTCCTCATTTATTTCACTGGCAGTACATGCTTGCAAAAGGAATGGAAACAGGAGCAGGCCACAGCATGTCTCATTAAAAGCTGTGTAACACCTGAAAATTATGAATGCATATTGGCTGCACTGGATGTGAACCTTCTGGGCTTTCAGCACAGCTGTGTGGAGGCATTTTAAAGCGTTCATTTTCAGCTTGTTGCATTGTCAGAACATGACAAGTGTCGGAACATGACAGTACAACAAGATTAAGATGATTAATCTTAACTATGGTTTGTTTGAAACAAGCCAACTTCAAAGGATGGGATATAAAGCTGGCTTGATTACACAAAAAATACTATTAGTTATTTATATTACTGTTGTTCTGTTGAAGCCTATCCCTTCCCCCCTTTGCAGCTGCATCAAGTGCCTTTTGTTTTCTTCGCACAATGCATAGTTAAATTTTGGAATTTATGTTCATGACATGTCATGTGGCCCACCGATTTGAATGGTTTTACAAGGGGAGTGGACAAACTCATGGAGAAGAAGGCTATTGAGAGCTGCTAGTCCTGATGGCTGCATGCTACCATCACTGTTAGAATCAGTGTGCCAATGCACACCAGTTGCTGAGGAATTCTACCGGAATTCAGCAGGAGGTTGCTGTTGCAATCATGATTGTGAGGTTTTGTAGACAGCTGGTTTATCACTGTGTGGCCAAAGCACTGGCGAAATTGTCTTGTCCAGCTTGGCTGTTCGTATGTTCTTAGCCTACCCCTGCATGGCTTTGAATTATGGGAGTTATAGTTCAACATATCTGGATGAGGCCAGTCAGGGAAAATTGTTTTATTGTGTTCTGCATTTTACAGTTTCGATGAGCAGCAGCTTGGTTTACCCTAAGAAGTGGCTTATACATAGTCAGAATTATTTAACAACAACCACAGTTATTGGCTACACACTCAACTTGGTTAATGGAAACTGGAAGTGAAATTTCCAGTGGCTCACAACCACACTGGAAGAAGAGAAGGAAAGGGACTCATTGTTATATTGTTATATTATATTGATTTTGTTATGCTAAATTATGGCTACCATGGAACACGGCCACTGAAAATATTCTAAAATGTCAGCTTGGCAGTTCTTCTGTCAGTGCATCTTGACATGTAATCATATAGTTTAAGGAGCACTTTGTGGAACATGGCTTCTCTCTATATAACACAAATCTATATTTCCAATAAAAAGTATCCCTCATTGAAATGCATATGCTTTGAAGTAGTTTACATTGTCCACTTACTGTTCTGCATTCACACTGTTAGACAACATTATCATCCTTGGGTTTAACTTCTGTGTTTTCCCATCACTTTTGTAGGGTTTTTAGAGCAGAGAATAGCCAATTTTTGGTGTGGTAAAACAAATTGCAACTCTCCCTCAGTGTCATTATAACAGTGCCACCAAGGGGTTATGTAGCAGAAAGAAGAAAAGGGCTGGAAAAGGGGTGGAGGGACTTTGTCTAATTTTGCAATTCATCTGGTGGCAGAAGCAGTGGCTTAAGCAGCCTTGTCTAGAGAAGTTCTTTAGTTCAGAAAGAACATGTTTACTATAAAAAACTTTACAAGGTAGAAGGAAAGACATGTCCCCGTGCTTTTGTTTCTTTTCTAAATGTAAGTGTCCAAGTTTAAGGCCACAGTGTCCACTAGATGCTGTCTAGATGGCCATAGGAAGTTCAGAGTTCTAGCTCCAAGCTCAGAAAAACATTCGCTGATCAGAGGTGGAACTCTGATGTTGGTGCATCCTCCATCCTTACAGCTGGAACTGTTTTTTCCATGCCAGCAGAAGGTCAGAGGGTAGTAGATCAACTTTGGAGCTAGGATTCGGGGAAAGACATTCTGAGGACAAGAAGGAGATAAGCGATACTTCACTGGAATGCAAAGTATTTGGTGGGTCCTCAGCTTGCCCTTTTCAGGAGCTTAGATGGTCAAGTATTTTGTGGGGAAGGACAATCTTAGTGGCAGTCTTCACCTTCATGTTCCTTACAGTCATGATACAATGATATAACCCTTGATATAACGTCCTAAAGAGTGTGGAAAGCTTGAATACTTTCCTTAGCCCTTCACCAATGAAAGTCTTCTTCAGACCTTATGAAAAAAGAAAAGATGAAGTTCTTTTAGTATCAGCATCTTGTCTTTTCAAGTGTTATTGTTCCATGCCATC